GAAGGTGAAGGGAGACGTCGGACAGTGTAAGTTATGACAAAATAATAATTTATAAATTATCAAGGGTTCATGAGGGAGGGGGGAGCGGGGAGGGAAGGGCAAAAATGAGGAGCTGATGCCAGGAGCTTAAGTGGAGAATAAATGTTCTGAGAAGGATGAGGGCAATGAATGTACAAATGTGCTTTACACAGTTTATGTATGTATGGACTGTGATGAGTTGTATGTGCCCCTAATAAAATGATTTTTAAAAAAATCATTTAGTCTCAAAAACCCACAAGGGCAGTGCGACCGTGTCCTACAGGATTGCTGTGAGTCAGAATCTACTCGATGGTGGTGAGACTACTCTGCCCTGTAGTTTCTATGAGTTGGAACCGCCTGGTGGGCAGTGGGTTTGGTTTTTAGTTTAGTTTCCAAATAGGCCTATTTTACTGATAGCTGTATTTTGTGATTCCCCAGTCTGGGTTTGGGATGAGAGTTAACAACAAAATCATCCATGAAAGCCACGGTTACTACTCAAAACGATGAAAAACGCTGGATAGGCTAAACTGGCTAGCTCCATCTTTGATTCACAACCCCCATCTCATTTCCACATGATCTCTAAGATCATGAGACTTTTCTCAGTCCTCTCACAGAACAGACTGAGAACCCCACCATCCTCTTAGAACCCCGTGTTGTTGCCCTCATGACAACAGGCAAAATCAGCAGGCCAGGCTGAGCCAAATCTGACTCAGAGAAGGTTTTCAGCCAACGGGTCCTTCTTGTTCTGGTCCATTGCCAACCGAGCCTCTTCCATGATGCAGACGGCAGGGGCAGGAGGGAGACTACCGCCCTCCGTCTGTCCAGGGTTTGGTTCTGTCTTTTACCCCGTTCCGTAATAGTCCAAGATTTAAAGCATTATCCTTATGCTTCCAAGTCCTCTTGTACGTGAACAGGCCCACTGCTCCTTCAGAAAATGGCTGGGACAACGGAAGGAACACAGGTACAAGGAGGTCTTTAAAACAAAACAGGACGAGATGCCTTCAAGGTACTGGGAGCCCCCGGTTCTGCGGGCTGCGTAAGGTTCCCTGCAGCACTAACCCTCCAGCTACTGCTTCCAGGGGACGGGTGCTGGCGCTCCGTGCTGTGAGACAAGCGTTTATTCCCATTAATCAGGAACAGGCCCCTGCCCTGGGATAGCAGGCTTAGGCAATCTGTCTCAGGTGCATGACGATTACGTTCCTGGATTTCACTCAGGTCAAATCCGATCTCTTAAGGCAGCCATTAAGCTAGCGTATGTATATGGCAGGATGTGCAAAAGGAAACATGAAAAATAAATTCTGTCTCAAGCACGCACACATATATCAAAGGTGCCGATGATTTATCTACTGAGGCTTTCTTTCCAAAAAGAATTCATCTAAATCCACACTGAACAGTTAAAATATAAAGTTATGATGGATCACTTATTAAAAGTTCACATTAGCAACAAACATACAAAAGATTTTTAAAGCCAAAATGTCTTCCAGATAGAATAGTTTCCTTTCTATCGGTTAAACGAAAAATATAAATATATTTCAATACTTTATCTGTCTGCCCAGTGCTTTCTTGCCAATAGAGCCAGGTCGTCCCTAAACTTCTGGTCATCTCAACCAGTTTTGAGTATTTATCAACAAATCACACAAAATGGGTTTAAGGGTCTGCTGTACCAGGTTGTATTTTCTTTTTCTTTTTAATAAATCATTTTAATGGAGGCTCTTATCACATCAAGCACATTTGTACATTTGTTGCCATCATTTTCAAAACATTTCCTTTCTCCTTGAGCTACTCTTCCCCTAGTGACCCCTTGATAAATTATAAATTATTGTTATCTTCATATCTTACACCATCCGCGGTCTCCCTTCACCCACGTTTCTGTTGCTTGTCCCCCTCGGGGAGGGAGGGGCGGGGGTGGTGGTAGTGATCATTGACATCAGTTCCCCCAGGTTGTATTTTCATCTTTACCATCTGGTTTCTCCATGACAGAACACACGATAGGAATAGAAGAAGCAAGCTGACCTGATCCATTGGAAGTTTACAGTCCCAGGTTATTGCCCCAACTAACACAATGAAGAAAAAAAAAGGAGCCCTGGTAGGTAGTGGTTATGTGTTGGGCTGCTAATCGCAAAGGTTAGCAGTTTGAAAACACCAGCGGCTCCCTGGGATAAAGGTGAGGCCTTCTACTCCAATCAAGGGTTACAGTGTCAGAAACCCACCGGGAAGTTCTACTCGGACAAACGGGATCACTAGGAGCAGAAATTGGATAGAGGGCAGTGAGTTTCCTTCGGCTTGAATATAATGTAATATGTATCACCACTCAATTTTCCTCCCTTCATAATTCCACTCTGAAATGAAGGACAGAATAGAGAATGATCTACTGAGTGTGGGCCACAGTGTCTTCCATTAAAAATTGAAGAATGGCATGGGGGCCACATCTGACCTGCTCTGTCTCGATAACAGGGTGAGGAATCCAACTCTACACCAGCCCAAGGCCAACTGCCACAGGCAGCCGTCAGACATGCTTCAAGCCTTGTGCTAGTTACATAATTTCATGTCAAACCCAAGAAAGACAGAAGTGTAGGGGTGGTATTCAACCTTGTCAATCAGCTGATGGTGCTCCTTGTGGGTGTGGCATTCTCATAAGGAACCTCCCCTCCCTTTCTCTCTGCCTCACCTTCCTGCTGGTGGACCCTGACTGCTGCCAGTCACCACTGGATCCACATGACTACACCCATCCACCTGTGCTATTCCTGCATTTTGCATCACTGCTTGGGACTGCATGAGTCTGACAAGGGACTTATGGGCTATTATTGGACATATGGACGTGACCTGGCATGGGCTGGGATGCTTCTTTGATATATAATTAGATCGTGATCTAAAGCTTTTTCTTACACATATATTGTCGCTGGATGTTTCTCTAATCAAACCAGCATAACACAAATCTCTATCTTCTTTACCCTATTGTGACAACAACCATTCCTCCCGTGGACTCTACTTCTCTCCTGAGCTCAAGAACCCATTGCAATGGCTACATGGAAGTCACAGGCAATACGATGATGGGGGTTTGTAGGGAAGCTATGAGGTTACCGTAAGTCAGTCGCACCTAGTCTCAGCCAGCAGCAGGTCTCCATCTGGCCTTGAGCCTCTCGCCATGTGGTCCCTTGGCCTCTAACTTGTTCTGTGAGCTGTTAAGCACAATATGTTTTACCATCTCTGTCTCATGGTCTCAGCGTAGAGGCCTCTGGTGTCTTTGCCACAGGGATCTTACAGGTGCTCTGCCGGTGCTTCTTCCTTCCTGCAATCAATCTCTCTCTCTCACTCTCTGTCTGTCTGTCTGTCTCTGCTTGACATGGCAACTTCTTATATATATAGTAAAATGGAAAAACTGACTAAGCCCCTCAATTGTGCTACAGACATCCAGTTTGCGTGGCCTCACCCAATCATTGTATAGGGGAGTTATAAGGATATGGATAAAGGAGCCATATTTAAGCAATTTCACGTCACCAAAATGTGTCATTTTTCATCCTCATTTTCTAAATGACAGTG